CTCTCTCTCTCTCTCTCTCTCTCTCTCTCTCTCTCACTCGTAGTCTGCTGATGCAATGACGTCAGACAGTGAGAGGGTGAGAAGGAGATGGTGGACAAAGAAGAGGAAGAAGAACTCTCTCTCTCTCTCGAGCCAGGTACTAATCTGTGAAGTTGGCGCTGTGATGCAGGTACCTCGAAGACGAAGCTGGAGCAACGGCGCTGTCGGTAAGTATCCCTGGCCTCCGCCCAATCTCTCTCTCTCTAGTACTACCCTAGCTATGGCGCCCAGCGCTGAAGACTAATGCTAACGCCACTATTAAACTCCTGCAGTGCTCCTCCAGAGTGCTGCTGCCGAATCCTGAAGACTACTGCCTGCCTCCTGCCTACCCGTGAAGTGCATGGGAAGTCCCTATGTACTATCTCGGCCTGCGTCCTGACTGCCTCCGACTGCCTGCAGTTGCAGGGCGGGCAGTACAGGAGGCTGTTATTGCCAATGCCAAACTGGGGCAGGGCCTGGCGCTGCAGCTGCCGTGGGAACAGGCCAAAAATAGCTTGTTCCTAAAACCCTCGTTTGGTGCTTGAGTTTCAGGGCAGGCCGGTCTGATGAAGGACCGAAAATGGCTCTTCGTTTCAAGCTAAAATGGTTGCTGCCATTTTTAGTCTGAAACGACACAGGGTCTGTAGGCCCCGAATTTCCAGGCTTTCGAGCTGAACAGACACGGGGCCTGTAGGCCCTGGTTTTCAGGCCTTCAACCTGAGGGTCGCAGGGCCTGGAAAAGGGCCCTAGTGTGCAGGCGCAGCATGTAACCCCCCCCCCTCCTTATGAAGTCAAGCCGGCGCGAGGGCGAAGCTGACAATCTGAAGGTGGTACCTGGACGTGGGTGTGGCGTGGAGCCGAAGAGACCGGCTTGCCTTGCATCTTGCGTTCGTAGCGTGCGAGAACGTCTGGAGCTGTTACTTGAAGTTCCGCACGGGTCAACCAACAGTCAACTCGATGTGTGCAGTATGCAAAATGTACCAAGTACTCGGTTGGCCTGTTGCCGTAGCGTCGYTGGGAGATGATGTCGCCGACCTCCTGAAAGTTGTCCATAGAGGGTGGGTCTTGCGAACGTCTCCTGGGAAAATCGTCATGTTTCGCTGGCGTGTAAAAAGCCAACTTGGAGCAATGAAAGACTGGGTAGACGGGCAAGTGGGTGGGCACCTGAATAGTGAAGGAAGGTCCCTCGGGTGCATCCCCAGCGGGTGCCATGATCGGCCAAGGCCCCATCCATTTCGGGAGGAGCTTGCGAGAGATATCTTATTCAAGGCTGAATTCCGCGGCGGAGACCCAAACGAGATCGCCGGCGTGGAATGGGCAAGGAAGACGCTGGTGATTGACCTGTTGGCTCATGCGTTGCTGCGTCTTGGCCATCAGGTCGCGTGCCTTGACAAGTAGCTCTTGCATCCGACGCAAGAAGAGAAGATGGTCGTCACTCTCGACCGTTAGTGGAGTGATGGTGTCCAACGACGAAGTGACCGGCGAGCTGTGGTCAAACTCCAAGGGCGACATCCCGATAGCCGGGTGGACGGAGGAGCTGTAGGCCAACTCGACATCTGGCAGCCGCTCAACCCAATCCTTCTGGTCAGCACGGATGAGAGTGCGAAGGAGAACCTGTGTGGTATGCTGCGCCCTCTCCGTTTGGCCATCGGTCTCGGGGTGGCGAGCTGAACTGGGCTTGAGAGATGAGCCCCATCGCTTGATGAGCGCCAACCAAAAATCGGACATGAACCGAGTGTCGCGGTCGCAAACGATTTCCTTGGGGTAACCCTTGGTTTGAATCCAACCGGCGTAGAGAACCTCAACGAACTTCAGTGCCTTGGCATGATAGCGGCAAGGCAAAAACATGACGAACTTGGTGAGTCGGTCGACCACCGTGAGAATCCCATCCACGCCGGTCTTGTGCTTGGGGAATGGGCCGGTAATGTCCATGGCAATTGCTTCCCTTCGCCTCAAAGGGACTGGTAATGGTCGTAACTCACCATACGGATGATGGTTGCGGGATTTGCAGCGTCGGCAAACCTCGCATGACTCGCAATATCGTGTGACGTCGCCGAGAAGGCCGGACCACCAAAATCGCTCGCGAAGTCGGGCAATCGTGCGATTGACTCCAAAGTGTCCGGTGGCGGGAGCATCGTGGAACTCGCCAAGAAGCCGTGTAGACAAGTGAGGATCACTCGGTATGCAAAGAAGGTCCTTCCCCCGTGTGTGGACAAGCAAGTACCCCTCTTGGATCCGGTAGTTAGAAGGCGTCGGATCAGGAGAGGAGCAATTTACGTACTTGTCGCGAAACTCGGGGTTGGCTTGGTAGCCGCGGATGAAGCTGTTTCGCAGGTCGTCGTCGATCTCGAAGGTTAAGTAGACCGCGGTACAATGATCTGGACGCCGTGAAAGAGCATCCGCAAAACAGTTTGACTTCCCGGGAATGTGATCGGGAAAGAAGTCGAACTGGTCGATGAAAGTCATCCATCGAGCGATGGTGCTGTTGATGGTGTCGTGGGTCTTATCGAAGACCAACGGATTGTTGTCCGTTACCCATCGGAATTGGCTTCGACCAAGGAGGAAGTGCCGCCACCGCTTGAGCCCGTGGACGAAGGCGAGGAGCTCCTTCTTGCGTGCATCGTCAATGGAATGCACGACGGGCACTTTCTTGCTGAAATACTCGACCGGGTGCCAGTCCACACCATCATGTTGCTCGAGGACGACACCAATGCCATAGCCGGACGCATCCGTAGTGAAGCGCGTAGGCAAAAGTGGGTCGTATATGCGCAAGACCTCCGCAGATAATAACGCGGCTTTGAGAGCCACAAATGATTCCCGGGCCTCCTCTCTGAAGTCAAACGGCCGATCCTCGCATTGAAGCTTGGTCAAGTGGGTAGTGATCTTCGAGTAGCCTTTGATGAAACGCTGATAGTAGCCGGCGAGGCCAAGGAACGAACGGACATCCGTGATGATCCGAGGCTCCGACCACTCTTGGATGGCTTGAATCTTGGCCGATAGCGGACTGATGCCCTCCGGTGTGACAAAATGGCCCAAGTATTCCAGCTCTTGCCGGACAAATTCGCACTTGTCGCGGTTGGCCTTGTACTTGGCGCGCCGGAGCGTCTCCAACATTTGTCGAAGATGCCCAAGATGATCCTCCAAGTCTGGCTATAGACAAGAATATTGTCTAAGTAGACCAACACGAACTGGTCCAACGTTGCACGAAACTCGTTGGTCATTGCCGCTTGAAAGGTCGCCGGGGTGTTGGTGAGGCCAAAAGGCATGACCACCCACTCAAAATGCCCGTACCGCGTCTTGAACGTGGATTTGTAGCGATTGTTCGACCGGATCGAGATTTGATGATATCCCAACTTCAAATCGAACTTGGAAAAATACTTTGCGCCGCCCAATCACTCAAGAAGATCGTCGATGCGAGGAAGAGGCCCCGCATTCTTGACGGTTTGCGAGTTGAGCTTGCGGTAGTCGATACACAATTGTAGATCCTTGTTTTTCTTCCAAACGAAGAGAACTGGTGCTCCATATGGGAAGCTACTAGGGCGGATCCAGCCCTTGGCCAACAAGTCGTCGAGTTGTGCGCGGAGGACGTCAAGCTCCTCCTTGCTCATCCGATAGATGCAACCTTTCGGCGGCACGGCACCGGCCTCAAGAATAATCTCGTGAGAGATCGGTCGATCCGGCACCACACCGGTAGGTGACTCGAAGATGTCGACGAACTCGTCCAGCAACCGCACCACCCGGGGGTCAGAAGACAAGTCTGTGGGTGAAAAGTCGGCTACCGCGACGGTCCGTAGGAAACATAGGCCGATTTCCTCGGGCTGCTCATAAGCGCAAGTCGCCCAGAATGATTTGGCCGTCACCACTTGGCACCGAATCGAAGGGTGCACAAGAGGAATAGTACACGGCACTTCGGCGCCGAAGGCGTCGCGAACGCTAAGAGTCCACCGGTGGAAGTTGACCGTGTGATCCGCACTTGCAAGCTAAGGTATTCCGAGAATGATGTCGAAGTCCATCTCCAAAATGTCGAATTTCACCGGTTTGCATGCATGAGGTGCGAAATACACCGGTACGGCTTCGATGTAACGGTCGAGGAGTTGCTGTGTCTTTCCATCCGCCAACTTGATCGTCCTCGGGTTTTCCTTCCTCCGAACTTGTGTGCCAAGGCCAGCCCTTTGCATAAAGGCTTGGCTCATGAAATTGCGAGACGCGCCGCTATCCTGCAAAGTGCTACAGGACGCTTGCCCAACCTGGATGCGGACATACATGAGCAGTGCGTTGTTGTCATCGTACCATTGCGTGCGAAACTCGCAGGCTACCTTGGTAACATACGCAAGGATGTCCCCCACCACGACTTCATCATCCGTCGGCGAAGTTGGTGGTGCACAGAAGGATAAGTACGTGTGGAGATGAGTGCATAGTGTTGCGCATTGCGGTCCCGGCAGGTGGCCCGTGGTCGGGAGAGGAAGCCATGCAAAGTCCTCGGACATGAGCGGGTCCAATACCTCTATGTGTTGCGCATTGCGGTCCCGACAGGTGGCTCGTGGTCGGGAGAGGAAGCCATGCAAAGTCCTCGGACGTGAGCGGGTCCAATGCCTCTATGTTAAACTCGCGCGCCGAATCCCGTGAAGAGCCACTTGAAGACGATAAGTCGCTGCTGCCGGACGGAGAAGATGCCGCACACACGTCTTGTCCTTGAGCTTGAGTACCCAGTGTAGGAACGAGTCGGGCAGCATAGTCCTCAAAAGAATAAAGATGAGGAGGACTATCGACTTCCACATGTGCCTTGGAACGAAGGGCGGTCACCCGCGAAGCGACCGGTTCCAAAGGCATCGAGAGTGTCATCGAGTCACTCCCAGCGGTGCTCAGTTTCCCGATTTGCCCTTGCCTTTCAACGGGCAGGCCATTGTCTCATGGAAATCGCTGTTGCACCACAGGCAATAGTGAAATCTCGTGCGCTCTTTGAATGCTTGCTCGGAGAGACCGTATTGGGACCATGGGGCCTGAGCTGCTGCGCCGGGCCCCGGGCTAGATGCGGTGTTTGTCTTCGCCTTGCCACGTCCTCGGCCTTTGCCGGGGTGGACACCTTCCTGGGCGGCTGCGAATCTGTCCCCTTCATTGGCAGACACGGCCTCGCTAGTTTGGTCAAACGGCGTTGCCGTCGTGACCACGACCACTCTTTGTCGATGTTGGTCTCTGCTTGGGCCTGGCGCAGACGAACGCAGGTTCTTAGCCTCCTTGTTCGTGATGATAATCTGCGCGGCCTTGTCAAAGAGTTCTGTCGTTGTCGTCAAGGTGTCCTCGACGTGAGTCAGGGCGTTGCTTAATGTCGGACACGACCTTGAGATGAAATAGTGGCGGATGGCTTTGAAGCCCATCTGGATGTCTGGGACGGATGTCAAGCGTTGGTACTCGGCAATCCAGTCGACACTCGACAACGTGCCTTGTTCGAAGACCATTAGCTTGTCCATTGCCTTGATCTCTGGCGACTCTACTTGGAACCGCTTGCGCCACGCGGCCTTCAGATCATCCCAGCTGATCTTGGTATGCAAGTCGGCAACTACCACTCCGTATTTGGACAAAAGATTGTCCAATCATGCCTGGCACGCGTCCCCCGACCGGTAGTATAAGTACGCATGGTGCTTGTGTTCTTTGACGTAGTGTAGCTGCAGCGTGAGCTCAAACTTGCGGAACCATGGAATCGGATCTGTCTTCGTCGAGTCGCAGAAGATCTCCTGCCCGTCAAACTTTGGAGCTGTCTCGCGTGGTTCCGAACTCGAGTTGTTGGCGGTAGTACAGATCCGCTGCTCCAACTGTTGCGTCGCGGTCTGCTGTAACTGCACGTCGTCCTTTAGGGAGCCGACATCAATCTCCAATGCTTCGAGGCGATCGGAGGTGTTGGAAGAGCTGGCATCGGGGGGGGCGACAGGTCGCTGCTCCAGCTGTCGGAGGCGGCTGTGGACTTGAGTCAGCGCATCGTCGAGGCTGTGGATGTCCTCCTGCTGTGTAATGCATGTTGCCAGGAGGTCCGTGAGATGGGAGAGGAGTAGAGCGATCTTGTTTTCGCTATCCTCCATCTTGCCATTCTCGGCCTCGGCCCGCCAATCCGCTGCCATTGTGAGCAAAGTCTGCTCTCCGCTAAATATCTTCTCACAACGTTGAACTCGTTCTTCATCAGCAACCTTTGCTGCTGCCTCGTTACGCTGGCGCTGTTGTTCAATTGCCAGCAGACGTGCCTGCTCGGCGTCCTCTGCCTTCTTCTTCGCTGTTGTTGCGGCGTCATCTGCCCGTCTCTTGGTTTCGGTACTCCAGGCCAGCATCCAGGCCTGATAGGCCTCGTCTGTTTCCACGGACCTCTGGTCCATGACGGCTGTTTGTGAACGCAACAGCATAGACCAGGCCGGGGGCCTGGTAACGTGGTATTCTCTGCTGCTGACGTGGCATTGTTGTCGGTTGACGTGGCCTGCTGACGTTGTCTGCTGGCGTGTCCTGCTGATGTGGCAACTCGCCAATGCCGCTGCAGGGGGTACCCGACGATAGATAGAGAAGGTAAGATCAGAGGGGGCAACAACATAGGTAGGGAGGGTGGGTGGGAAAAATCGCCCAGATAAAGAGTCACTAATCGAAAAAAGAAAAGTTTGAACTTTGAACTTTGCAAAAAAAAATTCGAAAAAATCAAAATCCCGAGTTTTGCAAGTTCAGTAGGTCTCCCAACCTCCCTTGAAGTGCGAACTTACTAATAGAATCCTAGAACTGCGGGAAAAAAAAATCCGAAAAAAAACAAACAAACAAGTATTTGGACTTACTCAGATGAGAGTATTCGCAGTTTGCAAACTGGTACTGCAAGACGAATTTCCCGTATAGTTTTCAGAAAAAACGAATTTCCGAAAAAAATATTACGAATTTCCAAATAACAGGAAATGCAACAGGAAATCGAAATTTTCGAAAAGAAAGATATTCTGGATTTTCAACAACGAAATTTCGAATTTTCAGAAGAAAAACGAAAACGGAAATTTCAGATGTTGCACTATTGCGATTTTCCACAATAGAAATAGCGAGAAGACAAAATCCAAGAAAAAGAAAAAAATTTCGACCTTTGGCAGCAAGGTCAAAATCGTGATTTTGGGGGCTAACTAGTGTGCTCTGATCAATCAATCAAGACTAATCAGCTACCTAGTCCCCGTACACGTGTCAGATCAGGTTGTCCTGATTCACGTGAGGCGTTCCGATACCAACTGTCACATGCCCAGTTGGGCGATGTACATACAAAACCAAGGATCCGCAATGTGATAAAAAAGACTGAATGGACAATGCAGTGCAAGTAGAATCTCAACAAGCAATGTGCATTCCGATACATACAAAATGGTGCTTTTATAGCGCATGGAAGACTTAGATACAAATCCTGACCTGACCGGCACTGACCCCTTTCACGTAGTACAAGATAGCGAAGCAGAGTTCTAGAATACTAATGACTAGCCCAATCAATTTTTCAACGCAGACCAAACATACATCATGCTCATCACAAGGTGTGAAGGAAGCCTGGTGCTATACACAGGGAAAAAGCGCCAGGTCCAGACATACACAGACGAAGAGGAGGGGCGCTGCAGCTGTCGTGGGAACAGGCCAAAAATAGCCTGTTCCTAAGACCCTGGTTTGGTGCCTGAGTTTCAGGGCAGGCCGGTCTGATGAAGGACCGAAAATGGCCCTTCGTTTCGGGCTAAAAAGGCTGCTGCCATTTTTACTCTGAAACGACACAGGGTCTGTAGGCCCCAGTTTTCCAGGCTTTCGAGCTGAACAGACACGGGGCCTGTAGGCCCTGGTTTTCAGGTTTTTTTGCCTGAATTTCAGGCTTTCAGCCTGAGGGACGCAGGGCCTGGAAAATGGCCCTCGTGTGTAGGCGCAACATGTAACAACACCATAGCTGACCTTTCTCATGTACCGGGTATGCATGTAGCCTCCTCTCATCAGACCCTGTCCACCCACATTCGCCTCCTTCCTGAAAACCACCGATCGCACTCTTACTGCCAAGCGCCCTGCAGCCCGACTATGGCTGCTTGCGCTCCGCTGCCCAGCAGCGCCCCTCTTCACCACACACTTGCCTGCACGCGCTCTGGCCTCAGCGCATCACTCAGCCTCTAACGCAGCAGCGCAGCAGCGTGACCTCATTGCCTGCGTGGGCCAGCCTTCCAGACCCTGGCTGCCCTCCTTCCTTTATGGAAGTGGCAGCCTCTGCTTGGCTGCGTGTGGTCTGGCAAGAAGCTTCCAGTAGCTTCCGGTTGGGCCCCAGTACCTGCGCCCAGGCCCAGTGCTACAGTTGAGGGCACCCTTTACCGTTGGGCATGGCCCGAGTCTCCAGACTTGGGCCGTTTCCTGCATTTGCACAGGACCCGGGGTATGTACGTCGACAGTGCTGCTTTTGTGTAGGTATGTAGCCACTTCGTGATGTATCGGCCCTGCATTGTGTGGCGTACTACGCAGCCACACGGGCCTGCAGGGCCCGTCCCGCGGTCTCAGCCTAAAAGCCTAGAAACAAGGGCTTACAGGGCCCGTGTCGTTTCAGCCTTAAAGCCTGAAAACGAGGGCCTGCAGGCCCTACGTCTAAAACAGGGCCTTTCAGGCCCTGAGTCCTTTCAGCCTGAAACGGAGGGCCACTTTCGGGCCCTCATAAGATCGACCTGCCCTAACACTCAGGCACCAAACCAGGGTTTCGGGAACAGGCTATTTTTGGCTTGTTCCCACGACAGCCTCAGCAGGAGCTGCAGCGGCAGGCCCTGGCTCACTTCGGCATTGGCAAGAGCAGCCTCCTGGACTGCCCGCCCTGCAGCTGCAGGCAGTCAGGAGGCAGGCCGAGTAGTACATAGGGAGTTCCCATGCACTTCACGGGTAGGTAGAAGGCAGGAGGCAGTCTTCAGGATTCGGCCGCAGCACTCTGGAGGAGCGCTGCAGGAGTAGCGTTAGCGCTAGCAGTAGTCTTCAGCGCTGGGCGCTAGTAGCTGCAGGAGTAGTCTTCGGTGCAGGGCGCTAGTAGTAGTGGTCGTAGTGCTGGAGAGAGATGGCTGGCGGAGGCTAGTGAGACTTACCTGTGGCACCATACAGCTCCATCTTCGAGGTACCTGCATCAAGGCGCCATCTTCACAGGTTAGTACCGGACAGAGAGAGAGAGAGAGTTCTTCTTCTTCCTCTTCTAAGTCCCCCATCTCTTCTTCACCCTCTCACTATCTGACTTCTCAGTATCTGCGGACTACGAGAGAGAGAGAGAGAGAGAGAGAGAGAGAGAGAGAGA